ACAAGTGCAATCTTATCTCGTATCTTCCCTCCTCTTCTTTTGTGAGTATTAGTGCTCACTTGAAACTTCATGGAGGAAGACAAATTAAACCAAGTGTTAAGTATGTCTTTTGACACCTCCAAAATATAATACACTTGTACATTTTGCCTTTACACTTTATGGATTAAATTACCCCAATAGGCAGCTTATTCCGGATCCTTTTATGTTTTGGCAAAATACTGTATTATCACTTCAATAAACCTCAGAGGCATCTCAGTATAATACCCCCATAATTATTCATCGAATAGAGCGCTTAATGATCATCATGCACACTGAATTGGATATATCTCTATTCGCTATTATTAAATCTCATTGAGATTTTCCGAAGTAGAATAGGGATTGTTCCACATAAGAGCGCAAGATCAATCCCTATATATCGAGAATAATTGTCTTGAATTTACTTTAAATTCTTTAGATTCATCCTATTTAGCAGAAGAGTTAACTTTAATTTCGACAAAAATATTTAAACCAAAGCACGAAAAACTATATTGAGATAAAAGAAAACACACATCAAGCCATGTAATTAAACAAGACAAGAACTTTATCCAATTTTGGGGAACCCATCATAAGATAACAAATGCAACATTAATTCTTAGTCTTTGGACAGAGAAATTAACTGCGAGCGGTACTCTTAATACAATGATCAAATACTGATAATAAGTTCAGTCAAACAACAGTCTATCTTTGGACCGATTGTTATTCACATGAACATTAACTTTATAATTATCACGTATTTATCATTAAGGTGTTTGATTACTCGGTCAGTTAGTGTCGTCCATTGGGTCGATGACTACCCACATAAGTAACCTTACACGTACATCCACGTATTCTAGGTTAAATAATTTTTCGCAAGTAGAGGTTACTTTGGCAACATACTGCTAAAATTAATTTAATTAAAATACCAGACAATTCTCTCGTAATCACAAAATTCCAAATAAGTGATTAATTATCTTTAAGAGAGAATTACAATAATAATTTTAAGTAACAACTTACTCCATCTCAAGACACAATGCACTCCATTAATATTTGTCTTTGGACAAAATATTAACTTGTAAGTAATGTCTTACGATCGAGTAATTAAATATTGATGATAAGAACATATGAAATAGTAAATCCACCTTTGGGCCGATTTAAGATTCACATGCTAACCGAATAATCATCACATATTTATTACTCTATGCGCACATATGGAACCTTAAATATTCACCTACTTTTTGGCCAGTGAATACATAATTTGCACGCGCTAAAATGTAAACCTTTACCATATAGGGATTTATAAAAAAATTGTCAAACGACCCCTCCCTATAAAAAAATTGTCAAACGACCCCAAAATTTGGTTTACTGAAATGAGGCTTATATTCCTCATAAACTAGTCTTGTTTACCAAACAAATTACAAGCTATGAAATGCACAAAGTTACCTTAAAGTGCATTTTAATGGTCCAACGACCATCAAGCAAGAAAAAATATGGACGACAAGTCCTGTCAAATAATAGTTTGTCTTTGGACTAACTATTATTCACATGGAAAACTATCTTGACAGTCATCACATATTTATCGTTAATGTGTATTGTTGTTTGGCCAAATAATATCTACCTTTGAGCTTAACATTACTCGCATAAATAACCAAACACAATATAAGACTTGTATGCTTCAAACAAATATATATATAATATATTATCACACCAAATTAAAGCCGAAATAGTGATGTTATTGGAATTATCAAATCAAACATTAAGATAAAACCAAACAATTCCAAACGTAAAAAAAAAAACAACCGGAAAACGTTTGGAAGTCTCCGATCAAGACAACCGGAGTAAAAAAAAATGGCCGGATTTCAGAAACAGCTTCTCCCAGTTGCAGGGGACAAAAAAAATGAACAACAACAATTGCATTCATGAAATCTAGCACTGCATTTTGGGAAGTGGCTAAACAGTAGCAATAGCATGCAGTTTAGACTAAAACAATTAACTAATTTTTCTGGATTCATGCACGAAACCGAAGCATAAGAAAGTAGAACGGGACTGTAATCATGCATTGAGCATACCAAAAGAATTCCAAGGAGGAACCATAGAACCAAGATGCGAAACCCCAATAATCAAACAAATATGATATGCTCTGATACCACTTGTTAGAAATATAACAGAATTTGCATAAGTAATTCCCCGGATATCATATTGCTAGATTATCAAAGGTTTGTGAAAATACCTGAACTTGTGTCGATTGATAGCCAAGAACTTGATGCGAAATATGAAAGACGATCACAAACCGGACGATACCTCTGAAGCACGATCCGGGAGATTTTGAGGCCTTCCTCAACCAAGCCACCTTAGGTCCTAAACGGGAGACCTCTCACTTCTTGATGGGGAGAAGATGAGAGTGTTTGTTTTGGTGTATTGGGGACCACAACCTCTAGCACTTTTATATACAAGTTTCACATGGGCTCCCATAAAACCCAAGTGGACAAGTATTGGGTTTCCACCCATTAGATCCATATTGGGCTTGAGTAATCATGGGCTCCATGTATTGATCACTTATAGTTAGCCCATCAAAACCAAATAGCTAATATATGTGTTGTGAATTTGCAAGCCCACTTAAGTCATGAATTTAAATTCCTAACACCTACCTGAAACAATACATGCATTGTTTTACACTTTGTCACATCCAAACATTGTATTATGCACAATGCATGTATTTAATTAACACAACTCTAACAATTACGACTACCAAACAATTTAATCCAATTTTGTTTTTCTAGAGACAAATTGTCGGGGAAAAGCAACAATAAAAAATTGCAGCATGGGTTAAAAGTAGAAGAAGTTACAAAATGTCCAAGTAGACCCAAGCCCAATATGGAGAGCTCACATGTGACGGAGCCCAGACCCAACCTATTCTTAGGCAACAGTAACTCTGATGTAGCTTTATATATATTCATATATATATACGTGCATGGAAATGCACATATTGTTTATGTAGTATAAGGTGTTTTGGGTTGAGGAGATCAAGGTTGGTTTTAATCAGAGGCAATGTGAGGCTTTATAATTGGGTTACAAGATTGGAATTAACTAAAGGGGTGAAGGGTTGGAATTTACGTGGAGAGTCTTTGGATATTGCAATTCTTGTGACCTTATGAAACCCGTTTGGTTTGTTAATCAGCTGGCAGCGACTAATAATATCATGGACGTGGTTGCATGGAGCACTTCTACTATGCTATATAGTATTGGTGCTTTAATGTACAACTTGAAGTTGTACCATAACAATAAATGTATAAGTTAAGGTTGTACCATAAAGGAATTTGTACCATTATGTTATGGTACAATTTTACAACTTGAAGTTGTACCATCACATAAAGGTACAAGTTCAAGTTGTACCATAAAAGAATTTGTACAAAAAGTATAGGTACAATCTGAAGTTGTACCATAACGCTAAAGGTACAATTTCAAGTTGTACCATAAAGGCAAAAACCTATAACACTAATGCTATATAGCATTGTAAAATTCCTCGGTTGCATGGTCGTACAGGGCGATTACATAGCTTGTACTCCAAAAGTAAGGTGTTGAACTGTTAAGTGGTTAATCCAAGTCCATCGACTTGAAAAACAAGGTGTGTTCATGTGGTAAATTTTGTGCCTTACGATATTTTAAGTATTTGTTTTACGTTAAGTATGTGTAGTATTTGATTTATGATTGTGTTCGATTATACAAGCTTTTATTTGAGTTATTGTTTGAGCTTTTCAATATATATGAAGAATTTAAGTTTCTGTCTTGCTATTTAAGTATTTACGACGTTTACGAGCAAGTTTTAATTACTTCACCCTTAAATAAGGTAAAGTGAAGAGAGTAGCTAGAGAAAGTAATAAGAACTAGATAAGTAACCTCGCTTAGCTAGCCACGTTCATGAGGGATCACTACTGGACGTCGATACGTACGAAGTAGTTGATCAGGCATGGAATTGGACGATGATACGTAACATAGTTTTTATTGTCAAGTTTTAGGTATGCAACGGACGGTGATACGTTAACCGGTTGACATACATTAGTTGGACACCGGACGACGATACGAAATGTGGTAGTAAAACTCAGATTAAGGGGCACCCCATTGTGAGGGTAGCCATGATTAAGGAAGTAAGACTAGTAGTGGCGCCAGCTAAGTGAAGGTAGGGGCCCCATAGTAAAATAAAGGATGAGATAATACAATTTTAAGAGTTAAGGTTTTCAAGGGTGTAAGTAAGAACAACTTCCACCAGTTAAGTTAAGTGTCTTAAGTAAAATGCTCAAGCACTAGATGTTTTAAAACGTAAGGGCGTATACTGACTCCAACTCACTCACCAGTTTGAAGAGGAAGAGCTAGAGGAGCAGTTAGAGAGCAGCGAGAGTGAAAGAAACGGTTCGAGGGGAGCTAGCTGAAGGAGGACTGTACGAGCGTCACAGAGGATGTCTAGTCAAGGTTATCAGTCAGCAGGAACATTTGATATTAATTAGTTATTATACCTTATGATTATAAGTATAGACTGGAGATCATATTGATATTTTAAGGATTGAGGTTGCCCACATGTTAGGGTGTTACTTTAAGCTACAAAAACGCAATTTTAGTATTTTATTTATGAAAAAAAATTCCACTGTTTTTTTAGCGTCTATGGTTCTTGAGCATTTTTCAGTTTAACAAGGGCATTTTGGTATAATTAGTTTCCGGCGGGACTAGGGTATTTCATTTTGGTATCAGAGCTGGTCTTCCTCTGTTCCTTGGTCTCCAAGGAATACTGGAAAATCGGTGTCAGTTTTAAAAGATTTTGTTTTAAAGGAAAGGTAAACAGGTTTCAAGTTAAAGGTTAGGCCAAACGAGTCAAGGATCTTCTCTTAAGAGTTTATAGAATCTCCAGTCTACTATAATCATATTAAGGTGAATAACTATGAAAGCACAACACAATGGTATGATAGGGAAAGTTATTTCAATCATTTTGCATTATGCTCTCAACTGCTGTCACTGGAACCACGACGCCGGCGCCTGTCCTTTTGCCTTCGGATCGGCCGCCAGACCCACCTCGACACTTGGCGATAGCCGCTCCAGTTTCTACACCAGTCAACGTGGTTTCGGCCACGTCCTCCTCTAACATGATTATTGATTCTTATTCTATGTCTTTGTCTCCGCAGGGCACAGCTAACGGGAAGACGCAGGATCGATCGGACCAAGAGGCAACAGGGGCTCGCCAACAACGATTTTCATATGCAGCAGCGGTCACGGGAGAGATGACTACGATACCTCTTCAGAAGTAAGCGCGCCTATGGACGCCAGTGGGGGAACATGATTTGGTGCCCGGAAAATATAATGGCGAACCGGCCCTGACGATTTCAGCGGACTTCAAGTCCAAGATTTGTGCACCGTGGCAAAGAGCACTGGTTGTTCGTCTTCTAGGGTTGCGGATCGGATTTACCAACCTATGTAATCGACTCAAAGGGCTGTGGCGGCCGCAGGGGAATATGGAAGTGAAGGACCTTGATCACGATTGCTTCCTAGTTAATTTGGATAATGAACAGGACTATTACCGCGCCCTCACAGATGGCCCTTGGGTTATCTACGATCACTACCTGGTGGTCCAACAATGGTCCCCCCGGTTCAAGGCATCGGACCCGCTTCCGAAGACGATGATAGTCTGGGTGCAACTTCCTGCTCTGAAAATTCATTTCTATCATAGAGAGATCCTGACCAGCCTGGGGAACCTTATTGGAAGAACAATCAAGCTTGACTACCACACCCTCACCCAACAGCGTGCAAAATTCGCTCGACTAGCGGTCGAGGTCGACTTGACAAAACACCTGGTGCCCCGGATTTGGTTGGACGATGAATGGCAGAAAGTGGAATACGAGAATCTACCATAGGTGTGCTTGAAATGCGGGAAGATCGGGATTGACCGGAGTCTTTGCCCGGATAATCAACCAGCGCCTATATTTGCCTTGCCGGCAATTAGAGAGTCTCTTTCCAACTTGACGAGCTCACCGGAGTCGGCTTCAGCAATGTCGCCGGCGGACGGCAATCCGGGTTTTGGGCCATGGATGCTGGTGACTAGGAAAAGCCAGCGAAATTCCAGGGAAGCTCCTAGAAAAGGAAAGTTAGAGAGTGATACAGGGAAATCTAATAAGGAAGGTCTTCCCCAGAGTGGGAAAGGAGGAACGACTATAAAAGACCCTCCCCAAGACTTGCCTTTACAGAAAAAGCTCAACGGTCCCTTACCATCGTCGGCAACCTCTCATGAGAAGAAATCCCCAAATGGTAAGAAAGGAAACTCGGAGACGAAACGTGGCAAAGAAAAGGCAGGAACGGATGCTTCCGCGAAAGGAAAGGGAGTCCTTGGGCCGGGGCCCAGTTTTCAGAAAACCACCAACTCCTCAGGGCCGTCCAGCTCCTTCAATGGGGCTTCCTCTTCATCTATCGAAGCGAGCTTTCAGCCCACTTCGTCCCCAGGGCCAGAACCAACCGGTCTTGGATCGGCAGGCTTTGTGAAGGCGACGTCCATTCTTCCCCCACCACCCATTGTTCGTACAGTGACCGGTGAGAACGGCACCGTTTTGCAGATTATTGAGACCCCCCAGAAGCCGAACAACAATGGCAATGCCTCGAACAATCCCTCGCCGTCGGTGGCGACCAGAACCAAACGAAACAAGAGCAAGAAATCAGCAAGCAAGAAGTCGCCAGCAAAGTTTAATCATGCGAAGCCGCTGCAAATCTGGTCCCCCATGAAGGAATGGAAGCCTAAATCTAAGGCCAGAATTGCTTCGCTCACCCTGCAGGAAATAAATGCGTGGACGGCAGCCGCGAAAGAAGTCACTGGAAACTCAGGGGAGAAGGTGGTTGTCTTTACAGGCGACACCAACGCGCCCACAGATTGTGGAAGCAATGAATCCCAGACCCTGACCTAATGCTAGCTCGATTTTGGATCCCTAGTCGTACCCTTCTGGTTTGCTATGTCAATAATGTCTCTGTTAAAAATACTTTCGTGGAATGTTGGTGGCGCAGGTAGTAGAGCTTTTGCCCGCGCTCTGAAAATGACTATCAAGGATCATAGGCCGGACTTTGTAGTGTTGCTTGAACCCCAAATCAGCGGCGATTCAGCAAATGCAGTCTGTGACAAGTTGGGGTACCCCAACTCGATGCGCGTGGAAGCAGAAGGGAGGAAGGGCGGTGTTTGGGTTTTCTGGGATGCAGGGGTTTTCACTACGCATCTCGTCTCCGCTTGTAATCAGCACATCTCCCTGCGGGTTTCTCAGACCAATGGGCCGCAGTGGATTTTGACTGCAGTTTACGCTTCTCCCCGGCCTAGTGAGCAGAAATTTCTTTGGAACAGCTTGATTGCCCAGAGTAAGTGCATCGACATCCCGTGGCTGATCATCGGGGATTTCAATGCCATTAGCTCACCGGACGAGAGGTATGGGCCACCGGTAAGTAATACTCTGAGACGGTGTGAGGTTTTCAATGAATGGATGAATCTTGCAGAGCTCGTTGACCTCGGGTACTCGGGTCCAAAGTTTACTTGGACGAGAGGCGATTGTCAGCAAACCTTCAAGGCCAGCCGTCTCGATCGGAGCATCTGCAACCTGAGGTGGAACACAGATTTCCCAAACACCTCTGTTCTACACCTTCCCCGACTCCAATCGGATCACAACCCGATACTCACGTCGGTGGTGCTGAATCAAGGGTCGCAACCTAGTCCTCGCCATTTCAAGTTCGAGGCGGCCTAGTTTACTAATGAGAGCTTACAGAATGTGGTGGCAGAGTCATGGGAGCCTCTTGCCCCTTGGCAGGATGCCCTCTCCAAGCTTTCCAGTAAATTAGCCTAGTGGAATGTAAACACTTTTGGAAATATCAAGCTTAAGAAGAAGAAGAGGCTAGTGGCTCGTTTGAAGGGAATCGAGGGACGGCTAGCTTCAGGTTTTGCCCCAGGCTTGGCCAAACTTCACACTAAGCTAGAGGCTGAGCTGGATAAGGTCATGGAGCAGGAGGAGCTTATTTGGTTTCAACGGTGCAGAGATAAATGGGTCAAATTCGGGGAGCGGAACACGGCTTATTTTCACCAGCAAGTGAACATCAGGAGACGTTTTAACAAGATTGAGGCCCTGCAGGATGACAATGGGAATTGGGTGACAAACTCTCAAGCCCTGGCTTCTCTTGTTTTTGATTTTTTTACTAACACGTACTTGCAGGATGACTCCCCTTATGAAGACAGACTCCCCAAGAATGCTTTCCCTCGATTATCCCAAGCTGAAGCGGCGGCTATGTTCCGACCTTTCAACATCATGGACATCCACAAAGCCATCTTTGATATGAAACCGTTCCAGGCGCCCGGGCCGGACGGATTTCATGCGGCTTTCTTCCAGCATTTTTGGAGTGTGGTGGGGAAATCCCTTTCAGATATGGCCATCTCTTTCTTTTTGACAGGTTCCCTTCCAGAGGCAGTCACGGAGTCCAGTCTGGTTCTAATCCCCAAAGTGGAAGCCCCTGAGAGAGTGAACCAGCTCAGGCCAATATCTCTCAATAATGTTTGCCTCAAGAGTATTACAAAGGCCATGACCTGCAGACTAAAGCCGATTATGAAGAAGCTGGTGTCTCCCAGACAGAGCAGTTTCATTCCAGGTCGTCAGACTACTGACAACATTATTGTCGTTCATGAAGTTCTCCATTCTCTCCGAAGAAGAAGGGGCAAGAAGGGGGGTCTTGTTTTCAAAATTGACCTCGAAAAGGCGTATCACATGCTCAGATGGGATTTCCTTAGGGATATGCTTAAGGAGGTTGGGCTGCCGAGCACCTGGATTAGCTGCATCATGTACTGTGTGGAGCATAACAGGATGAGGATCAGATGGAATGTCGAACTATCTCAAGCCTTCACCCCGTCGCGTGGAGTGAGACAGGGAGACCCCCTCTCGCCTTATCTTTTTGTTTTATGCATGGAGCGATTATCTCACAGAATTGATCAGGCGGTTTCCGAAGGAAAGTGGAAGCCTGTTAAGCTCACTAGTACCGGGCCGCCCCTGACACATCTTTTCTTTGCAGATGATCTCCTTCTGTTTGCAGAGGCAGAGAAGCGACAAATCCAGGTGGTGAAAGAGTGTCTTGCTGACTTTTGCTATAGTTTGGGCCAGAGGGTAAACTACAATAAATCTATCCTCTTCGTGTCCCCGAACATAGCCAGGCGGAAAGCAGAACAGTTGAGTGCGCAAGCAGGAATACCTCTGAAGGCGGCATTGGGAAGATATCTCGGGATACAGGCTATTCAGGAACGAGTGAACAAAGGGAGATACCAGCCCTTACTGCTTCGAATTCAGAATAAGATGGCGCCTTGGAAATCCAAACGACTTTCCTTTGCGGCTCGTCTCACTGTGGCTAAATCTGTTACTGCATCCTTGCCTGTTTACACAATGAATACTGAACTAATCCCAAGCGGTGTTTGCAGGAGCATCGACAAGATCACCAGAGACTTCATTTGGGGAGACGAGGAAGATCGGTCCAGGATGCATCTTGTGGCATGGGATAAGTTGACGATGGCAAAGGGGCAAGGAGGCATCGGTCTTAGGCCAACGCGGTAGGCTAATCTGGCCATGCTGGCCAAGAGCGGTTGGCGACTGATACAAGAAAAAGAGAATCTGTGGTCTCAACCCTTGATTTCTAAATACGGAGGTCGGCGACAGGGTCTGGAGATCATCCAGAAATCTCAGGGAAGTTCCTTCACTTGGAGCAGCTTCTCGAAAGCTGCCGGCTTGCTCAGGCAAGGCTGTGCGTGGAATATTAAGAATGGGAAAGGTACTAAGTTTTGGTTGGATCCGTGGGTTTTGCAAGTTCCACTAAAAGAGAAGGCGATTGGTGTCATCCCGGAGGAGTTGGAGTCGGCAGCAGTAGCTGATCTTGTTCGAGATGATGGCAGCTGGTGCATTGAGTCTTTCCAGGACCTTTTTCCGCTTGAGGTCTGTGAAAAGATTTTGAGCACAGCAGTCGACAAGATATCGAGAGAGGAAGACAAGCTGTTCTGGTCAGCGACGGCGGATGGGCGATTCTCCTGCAAGTCAGCCTATGACCTCATCACTGGTCAAAGTCAGCAGCCTAGTGATAAGATTTGGGATACCATCTGGAGGCTACCAGTTCCGGAGCGAGTTAGAAGTTTTGTTTGGTTGGTCATGCAGGGGAGGATAGCCACCAACTCGTTGAGGTTCAATAGGAAGATTGCTCCCTCTTCGTCCTGCCTGCGGTGTCCTGATAGGCTGGAGACCATAATCCACATTCTGAGGGATTGCGGCCCAGCTCTCTACTTCTGGTCAAGACAAGTGCCGCAACAATATCAAGCGGATTTTTTTGGCAGGGATCAAGACTCTTGGCTTCGGGACAATCTTAACAATGATAGGGAGTCCCTCTCAGGTATTAACTGGCCGGCTTTTTTCAGCATGGCCATCTGGCTCCTTTGGAAGAACCGCTCGACAGCGTCCTTTAAGGGAGTCGGGGCGGCTCTGTCAGCTCCCTCTCTGCTTCACTCCATTACAGCCAAGTGCAAGCTGTGGAACGAGTCTTGGTATGCCCCGGTCCCTTTTTCGAGTTCGAAGAGACAGAAGGTGGTGCGCGTAACTGCGGAAATCGGATGGAGCTACCCTCCCTCTGATTGGGTTCAGGTTAACACTGACGGGGCCTCAAATGGCAATCCGGGGCCGGCTGGGGTTGGAGGACTCATCCGTGATCACCAGGGGCGCTGGATGGGAGGGTTCATGGCAAATATCGGTACGGCAACAGCAGGGCTAGCTGAGCTTTGGGGTATTTATTATGGGTTAGAGATCGCTTGGAAGCTTGGGTTCCGAGCGGTCAGGATTGCTTCGAACTCTCAGTTAGCGATTCAGTTAATTCAGAATCGGATTGACCCTATCCATCCGTATGCTACTCTGCTGGGACTTATTCGCAGGAAGATGAGTCTGGATTGGTTGGTCTACCTGTCTCACACTTACCGGGAAGGGAATAGAGCCGCGGACTGGTTCTCGAAGCACAGTCTCGTCTATCCCTACGGTATGCATGAGTTGGCAGATCCACCATCAGGCATCGGCCAGATCCTTCAGGAATACATTAGGGGCATTACTTTTGAGCGCCGAGTTGTGGCGAACTCCTCTTTCTCTTCATAACCTCTGTATTCTCGCTTCTTCTTCTTGGCTTTTAGCCTCCTTGCAATGCAAAAAAAAAAAAGGGATGATAGGACGTCAATTAAGCGATTGAGGTGTAGAGTGATCATCAGTATGGAATGAAGGATGCAACGAACGTGACCAATTCAAGTAAAATCTCAAGATACGAGGCAAGGAGGCAACGAGTCAAGAAACAGAAAGGTACCACGAGATGGTATTCAACTATTTCAATGAATAGGGATAGTAGGATCACGAAATATTTGAAACACCTTAGGTCATTAGACTAGAGTTCATAACAATTTAGTGGTCATCGGCGTGGCAATCGCTGCTAGGTGAAGTATGCAAGGGTCGTCCATTGAGAATTACTAAAGGGGGAGCTCTAGGATGCGGAGTGCGCCTACAAGCTGCTAGCATCAAGGAGCTGCCTCTTCAGTTATGGCCTAGGGCTAAAAAGGATTAGCACAAGTGAGGCTTGGAGTTAGCACAATGAAGGAATTTCGGGGTCGAAATTTTCTTGGGGGGGGGGGGGGGGGGGGGGGGGGGGGGGGGGGGGGGGGGGGTGGGGAGGGAAAATGCTATACCCCATCCAAAGAAGTTTCAATCAAATGCACCATGTACCAATACAAGTGATTGTTTCTCAGTCCCTGTCCTACCGTTCCAATTTTGAGGATGAAATTTTTATAAGTGGGGAAGAAATATAACATCATGACTTTTTGGCAGCGATTCAATCGAAAATTAATGTGTAATTTGATCTAACAGTTATATATGAGATC